AGGAAAGGAAAGGAAAGGAAAGGAAAGGAAAGGAAAGGAAAGGAAAGGAAAGGAAAGGAAAGGAAAGGAAAGGAAAGGAAAGGAAAGGAAAACTGCAAAAAAAAAATCCAAAAAACCCTGGCTATCTCCTGCTGCACTGAGTTAAAAATATCCATGGGAATATGCTGAGGCTGCTGAGTTTATCTTCAGGGGATGGAGGTGACCTTATCACTCACTCTGGAAATGGTGAATGGTAAAAGTGAGTGGGTAATGGGATAGTCTCTATCTCATGGAGATAAATTCATTGTTGGTGGTGGTTTTGTCATAGTCACCATGTTTCTCATACTACACTGTCTTTCTCAGCTGCCTAGCCATTGATCTCCATCCCCTCTGACCTAGTCTTTCAGGTCTCTCAGTTACTTTACCCAGGTATTCCCAGAGGTCTCTCTTTTAGCTTTTTGTGCCCTGCMTTTCAGCAAGGGAAGACACTGCAACAGAAAGAAAAGATCCAACATTGCCTACAATATACATGTTTAAATGGGTTAATGTAATGCCTATCATGTAACTTTATATTTCTTATTCTTTGCCAAATTGGGAAGAGCAAAGCAGCAGCATTGTCCTGTTTGTTTAGAGCAGTTGCATGCAAAAATTCTCTTTGAACACACCGAGARGCTCAGTTCTCTTTGGTCAAATTTAGCACTAACATAAGGAGATGGGTGAATTAATCATGTCACAGAATAGTTTTTCACTCAGATACACTCTAGACTACCATGATAGGTATGAAGGCACAGTGTTGGAGAGAAATGGGTCTCAGCTCTAAATAGGGAGACAGCACATTGTCCTGAACYATGCAACCTAAATTTCTTGGCACTCAGAAAGCAAAGCCAGTACCATTAATAATGTGTTCTGTGAAGCCTAGTTCAACTTCCAACTTAAATTTCTGCTGAAGACTGCTGCATTTGGACTGTAGCCCTACAGGAGCTCATGCAATACAAGTGGAGCAATAGTGTACTTAGAGTGGCCATCCTCACAACCTGTGTATTTTTGGTTGCTTTTCCTGAAATGCACCATAGCAGACACCTTGCATCACAGCAGGAAACCTGTGTAAATTGCTCAGTGGACAGAAGATATTTCACCATTTACCATGAATTTATCATCAATTTATACATGACATACAGCTACCCACGTATTCATTGCCAGACTATTACCCACTTTATTATATTTGCGCCTCTTTAATTCAGCCAAGCTTTACTGAATTTGGACTATGAATCTGCACATTTGTAAAGCTTGAGTGGACAACATGTCCTTATTCATATGCRTGAGAATGGTAATACAAATGCCAAATTTTTCTGTGAAGCTATGAAAGTGTCCTATAAAACCACCATTCTGATTAGTTGTACAGCCAGGGACAGCAGTGAAAATGTAAAGTTTTACCTGTGCTGCTTGAAGTTGACTGAATTATTTCATATAAAGTCCTTTTGTATAAGAGTAATGCTCATGAATAGTTGATACATGAGTTGGGGCTACGCATCTCAAAGGACAAAGAAGCTCTTGGGTCCTGGTCTGTAAATCCAATTTACAGACATGGCAGTTAACACACTGCTGAGGCAGTATAGGAAACATAGGCCTGGATGATATAAATGTGACATAAATGTGTAAAGACAGCACATTACCGTCTGGAACTGCAAGGATCACCACAGAGAGGGCATTTTTCACACGTTTGGCCCAAAGCCCCTGGATGGGTGCAAGCACACATCCCACAGATGCATTYGCCTCTCCCACTGCACAGCGTCCCGTCCTCAGCAATGCAGCTGCTGGTATCAGTTGTGCAATTACAGAATTCACCAGTCCATCCRCTGTGGCACCTGCATTCCCCACAGTCACAGTCACCATTGCCTGGAACAACATTTATCATACGTCAAATCAGTCTTTGATAATTCAAAAATAATCTGARTGATGATCTCTAAAATCATTCTCTTTAGTAGAAAATATTTTCCTCTCTCCAGCCGTTTCTCCAAACATCTTTCTAATAAATACTTCCAGTTTATAATGGTATAGCCTGAACTATTTTAAKTCTAAAGACCGTTCATAAATAGCAATTTTTTAGAACAGATTGCAACTGAATACGTGATGAAAACACAAATTCACAAGCTCCCAGCAAAGGGCGAGCCAATAAAGCTCCAACCGCAGCGAAGAGCGCTGCGGGACCGTACCGCCGCACTGCAGCCCCCTGTGCCTGCCGCAGGAGAAGTCGTCGCACTCGCAGCGGGGCCCGTAGACCTTTCCGTAGGGGGACGGGTGGCACAGGCAGTGTCCGCAGTAGCAGTCGCCCCTCCCGCTGCAGGAGCTGAGCCCGGCCGGGTCCCGGCAGGAGCCGCCGCCCACGGCGCTCTCGTCGCACTCGCAGCGCGGCCCCACGAAGCCGGGGCTGCACACGCACACCCCGCACTCCAGGGAGCCTTTGCCTTGGCTGCATTTTGGGCTCTGCAGCTCGGCCTCTGCCTGGCAGTTGCAGCTGCAGAGGGGATGAATTTCCATTTCCAGCGCGTCGCTGAGCCCCACKGGTTTTATCTTGAGTAGCTTTCTGGTTTTTTCACAAGAGGAGAGGCTTACAGTCACATTGAAAGAGACCTGGAAGAGAGAATGGAAGCTGCTGTGGTCTGGAGCACCGGGAGCTCYGCAGTGTCCTCATGCAGAGGACAGAGCAAGAGGGTCATAATATCCATGAYCAGCTTTTTGGTAACTTGTATGGAGGGAGATCGTTTAACAAAGGGCAAACGCTCTACCTTGGTGTCCTAAATTATATGAACTTCATGTCTTTGGAGAACACGTTCTTCACTTACTGTGTCTCCCACTTTCACATGAGAGCATTTCCTCTGATGTGGAAAAAAGGTCCCGTTGTTACAGATGGCCGTGAACGAGAGATTGAGCCCTTCTGTCTCTCCCAGGATCTCCAACTCTACCTCGGACCTCAGCTCCTTCAAGGAAAAAGGTGTGAGATGAACAGAATGATAACACTGCCAAGTGCAGCCACTGCTCCACGTCTGTGTAACGTGGACTGTAATTTATCCTGATTTACACATGAGTACACTCGTGCTTTGGCACTTTGTTTACAGAGTTCTCTGTTGCAAGAAAAATGGGGAAYGAGCAAAACAAAGCAAATGTTGACAGACCCAGCTTTCAGTGGAATGAAAGTGGTATCAGTTTMATATCTGCTGTCATGGGGCTTATTTCCTGCTCTTCTAGGAGAACAAATTCAATGCTTTATTAAATCATCTTTCATCCCTCTGCTGACTGATACAGGTTTTCTTTTAGGTCTGGACTTGCTGAAGAGTGGATTTGCATCCCTGATTGCATTGCTAGTTCTGGGCTTTTCCTGATTAGCCAAACTGTGTCAATATTGCTCCCTCCCTTCCTTTCTTCTCCCAATGGAAATTCCTGCTTCATGAGCTGTCTGTGCCATTTTAAGCCATATTCAACAATGTTCCTGTTTTAAAAGTCAATTTGTTCAATCAAACATTAATTTTCTAAGTTATAAACTTTCTTCCTGAGCTTGCTCATACTAGGTATTTACATTTTAAGTCTTTAAAATATTTTATAGCAACTTTGCTTACACAACTTTAATCCAAAGCCTATCACAGGCCATGGGGAAATTCCCTATGACTTCATTGGCCCGTGGCTCCAGTAAACGGGAATTTTTCAAAAGTACCTTAGCAACTGCTGAGAAAACACTTCACTGAATCAACTTCACGCTCATGGAAGTTTAATTGCTTGCAAAATACTCCCTGCCCTTCAATCAGAGCACAGGGAACTTGCTGACCTTACCTCAGTGWGTCATTCTACTAAAGGTGGCAGGATGAGTCACTGGAGTAAAGGTCTGGTGGGGTAAATGAAAATAAAAATAGAATKGGTATAAACCTGCACAGGCAACTCCCTGTCCATGTTCTGGACTCCTTGGAAATTTATCTTAGGGCTGTAAAACTGGGCCCTGGGCATCAGGTTGGTAACATTGGTAGCTTTGGGTATGTCCAGATTCCATTCACATTTGGTTTGGAGGCAGGTGCTATTGAAACAATGCARAATTGAAGATAATATTCTGTTTGCAATAGCTGGATTCTCCCAAAAGGACCCAATATGGGAAATCTCTACATAAAACTGTGACTGTTGCCATGTGTTTATGTCAYCACTAGTACCTCTTCCACCAGCTGCAAAACTACAAGGTACAAACAGAGTGCAACTGTGAGAGAAAATTAAATGCTGCTGAATGCCAAATCAAAATACTTTGAATTCTGGAGCCTGTGGGGTGTCARTTGAATGTGCCTTGCTGTTGCAAGAGATCAAATTATTCATTTTACACCACTGAAAATGAACACAAATTGATAAACTCAAGATTTTTAGATCCTAATATTTGTGAGCACTTCTAATGATGTTTTAAAACTACTAAGCTGTCTGGCCATAGTTTGAGGACAAATACCAGACAGTTCAGTGAGYTTTAAGCCATTCASACAGAAACATTTGTGGTTCAAAAAATTTTCTGAATGAAGGAGCAGACAAAACAGTGYTATGTACTTGTGCCCTTGTGTTACCTGTCCTAATATATTATTTCTTTGATCTCATTTTCCCGTAAGTGCAAGGATCAAACACTGGGGGAAAAAAAAAGTGGATTTTTTCTGAAATTTTAAATTCTTGGAATGACTTTAATCAAATGGCCTGCTATCTGCTACAATGCATTTTAGCCTACGGCTCTGCAACACAAAGTTGTGCAGAATTCAATGCTAAACAAAGCAGGCAGAAATATGCTTACAGAAGAAAATGAACCATRCTTGGAAAGAACATGAGAACTCCTCATGCAACAAATATTTTGACAGCTCAGACTTTCTTAACTTGCTTACTTCCTCTCTGAAGCTTTTAGATGGCAACACATGGTGAATGGCATTAGCAAACCTTGTGTTTGCACAACACACACACACTCAAAAACACTTAAAAAGTGTTAAAAGATTTAGCTTAAGTCTATTTCCAGGGGGCAAAAAGTARTTTATTCCTTTCCTTGTGAGTAAAGAAGTAGAGACACAGGACACTGAATTACACTTCTGAGTATCACAAAAAGTTTCTAACAAAAGTAGCATTAGATCTATTTTGCCTGTAATTTTGAACTGTAGATCTCCTGTCATTTCCTTCTTCACAGTCAAAGAAAAGAAAATTCAGATACCTTTACTTTTGTCAAATAAGGTGGCTTTTAGTGTTTCCTGCTTGGAAGATTTTCAATCACAGAACARTAAGATTGTTAACCTTTAAGACTAAGTGTAATAAAATGGACTTTGGGATATTTTGAATGTGACATGTGGCTACTAGTGCACTTTTTACATCTTGAAAGAAATGCGGGATTTTAAGAGCCTGCGTGCAACTCTGGTGCCTGGTCCAGACACGCTGTTGCTGGATGAGGCTGTGACAAGTTATGGCCCAAAGGCAGGAGCAGCTTTCCTGCAGTCACCTCCCTGCCACTCCTGCAGTGGAGCCAGCACARAGTTCCCTCCAAGCCATGCCTGTGGAACAAATGAAATCAGGACCAGCCCAAACAGCTCAGGAGCTGCAGTGTGGGCACCACTGCCAGCTCTGGGAGCTGCTCTGCTCAAAGTGCACAGCAACTAAAAAGCCATCAGAGAGAGGAGGCTGAGGACAAGACAGAAGACATAATTTCATTTTTGTATAAACCTTAGTGTGCTCTGTATTGCGTACTGCAGCTCTTATGGGCCCCACATCTCAGCAGGSACTCAAGAGAGTCAGGAGGGTAAGGACATGGTCAGATGAAGTTATTAAGGGGATGGAACCCCAATGAGAGATTTTAAAGTCTGGGACTGTCTGATTTGGAAAGAAGGTTGGGGGTGTGGAAGGTGTCTCAGTGACACCATATTATGAAATCATGAAGACATGAAGATAAGGTGAAYRTAGAGCTGTTAYTCACCAAACCCTAYAACACGGGATCTGAGGCACACTCAGCATAAGCATAAGAAGTAGGTTAAGATAGGAATAAAAAGAATGGRCATGGTGCAGCTGAGCTCCTTCTTTTCATAGAAGGCTACAGGGGCAAAAAAAATATTAGCAGATTCAAAAAGAAGAGTAGGAAAAAACCCATAGGCCATAGGATATTAGCATATGCTCAGGGGAAGAGGCAAGGATTCACTCTTCACATTTTCAATATTCCAGTGAGGCATCMTTACGCACTTATGGTGCATCAAAGGCACCAAGACACAGCACTGGGACAATTTTTGTGTATTTTTCTATTACTTGCTGACAACAAATAAGTATTTTAGTTGTTAAACATAGAAACCTGTGTCTATATATTAGATTGACAGCTTGAAGAAATGCTGATAGGAACCAGATGTGACTTGCAGCATGTTGGAATCCACAAGTGAAATCCTGTTGCCATTCAAAGATTTCCTCATCTGTATTTATTAMCATTTGTGCACTCCCAAAATTAACCCTGAGGTTCTCTCCTTATATAATTTTCCATGAAACAGAGAATCTTCTGGTATTTTTCATTCCATTTWAAAAAATAACAATTCAGCAATTGTATTGTTTTTGTTGCTTTTAGAAGAGTTAGAAGAATTTGGTTTTCTTCCTGTCACCAAGGCCAAATTAAATTTGGCACAGCGATGATTATCTAATTCAGGTGATAGAAGGAAGAGCAAAAAAAAAAAAAAGTAAGGGAAGAAACAGAAGCTATTTGCAAAGAGCTATTTGTCATTATAGGCAACTGRTAGAACAGGTTTTTCATAAAAATGGGCTGAGATGGAAGAGAGAAATATATGGTGTATCAGCATGTATGTAAATTGATGTATSTGTGCAAAGACCTGTACAAGTGCCTAAAACCATTCCTCTGACAGAAGAGAACCAGGCTGCATTTTCCAAACACAGCTCTGGGAGCAGGGCTGTGTTTATGCTCCTGACATCCTTACAGTGCTTCTTTGTATTACCTGAACAAACCCATTCAAGTCCTGGTATTACCCAAATAAACCCATGTTGGCTCCTATGTTCCGCTTTTTAAACACCTCAGAACAGCCTCACAGGGGCAGCATCAAATTGCTAAAGCAGAGAAAAGCACTGAGCACAGAATAGTGGAGGTTTTTTCCCCCAGATATTCCTGCAAAGCAATTGTTTATCTGCTCTGGTGGCAGCTACCAACAAGGAGAGAGGTGAGTTCCTGAGAGGTGTGGAACTGAGAGACCTGAATATTAAAGAAGGCTTAAGAGTAGGTGTAAAATACAGGAATATGAAGAAAGCAATGCAGATGAGACACTGGTTTAAATTCAGCRTTCCAGCAGAACTAAGAAATTAGTAAGAGGGTTTATAGGAATTTTGTTTCTGTGCTCGCTCAATCCACAGAGTGAACACTTTTTCTGTTAAGGYTGGCACCTAAAATAAAAAATGATGTAATCAGTTCATAAAAGGAATCAWAGACGCTTCTGTTTACCAAATTGCCAACCAATTTTGAACGTATAAACATGAAGAAAAAAACCTGCATTATAACCATCTTACCTGATATGCAGCAACGATCAGCTGGAGAATATTTCCAGAATCCTTCTGTAATCGTCCAACRGTAGCTCCAGGAATAAGCTTTGCATAGTTCTGGAAATACAAAAAATTAATTTAAAGCACAGATRAAGTTTAGGTGACAAGGGGCTGCCATCTAAAAAACCTCAAATCCAAACAAAAAACAAAACAAATCAAACCCCCCCAAACCAAATACACACACACACACAAAAGAGACACAAAAACAAACCCCAAAAAACACCCAAAAMCAAACAAACAAAAGTAAAACAAAACCCAATCCCAAATCAAAAATGAAAGACCTGTCAACAAAACCAAGTACATTGAAGCCAACTGAAATAAATGACAGTAACATTTTCAAGGATCTTTTCAGTCTCCATTGCATATGTCTGAATGAAAAATTAGATGGAGAAGAGCTGGTTTAATTTAAACTTCGTTGAAGATATATTTCTCAATCACCTCTATGTGCTTGGCAGTTTGATACTATAGTATTCAAGCTCTAATTTTTCAAATTTAAAAGGAAGATACATTTTTTCAACAGTTGTGCTTTTCTCCAACAAAAATATCCAGAAAGAGATTCAGCTGCTCTACTGTTGCTGCACTGCTCAAGAATCTTGGACCCTACATTCAGCAACTGCAGTCACTTTTTCGTTTTTGTACATTTGTATCTGTGCTCTGTGGGTATGATAAATTGTATGTTGAATTTCCGTTAATAACAGAGTGCCAATTTAGCAATTTATTTTAGTGATAGATTTTCTTTTCCTTTTGAATTAAATTGCATTGTGACACTAAGATGACATCTGACAGCTGGATTATAAGTATGGTGAATTAAAATTTATCTTGCCTAATTGTTAACTACATGAACTTCCCTTGCTTTACCCATGCTTTTGGAAAATAACGTGCTCATTATTTAAAAAAACTACATTGTAGCCCTAGTTTTCCTTTACACATCATCATATCAATGCTGTTATTTTAAATACAAGAAAAATATCCAGAGAACTATTAATAAACATGGATAATTTGATACCCTTATATCCTTCTCACACTTCATATCTCCAAAAGCCCTGTGATTACTTTATGTACTCTGTATGGAATAGTTATCATTCATTAGATTTCTGGTGCTATTGTAAATCAGTGGGATTAACTGCATTTTATGTTACAGCTGGTGACTTCACATTCCTGACTCCTCCTATGATTAGCGCCCTCACAAKGATTCTTGGAATATTCAAACTCTGWATTTCRTACATGTGGACCTTCTATGACAAAAGATGAASCTGGAATTTAAAATACAGTCCCTTTAATCTGTGGTATGCAAAACAAACAGCAGGGATGTGCTGCTCTCAAGACTTTGGTTGACCTCTTCTCTTTGAACAAAAGTTTTCTGCATGGTGATACAAGGGTGGTATTTCAAGACCAGGCWGAGTGTGGATCTCCAGTGCATGCGATAAACATAATTTTTTAGCAAATATTTCTGTTCAATCATTGCCAGGATGAGGCAGACAGAAGCAGTTTGGATGTTGCTATTGCAAAACATTCAAAGGATRTCATGGAATTTAGTCCTTTGGCAAATATTCATGAAAAGGTGAACTGCAATTCGATAAGGATACCCTGATTCATGTAAGGGAGGTTTGACAGTTTCATATTTGAGCTCAGTGGGGTTATGCCTGTATTTTAGCAGCATAAATGATTGAAGAATTTTTGTCATTGAGTGCCACACCAAATGTATAAAAATCAATTGAAACTCCATATTAGTGTGGAGACTAGATTATTTTTAGTTTGTTTTTCAGCAGGCAATGCAGCCTGAAACTCCAATTTTGAAGCCATTTCTGCYGTGATATGAAAAGAAATAATTAATCCAAAAAAGAGTATTTTTTTGTTTCAAAAGAAATGCTGCTTAGTCAGGACTAAAGACAGAGTCTTTCCCTTACCTAAGTTTGAATACTGCTTGAATTCTTCTTGAAAGCCAATAAAATCAGCAATAGAAACAACTACTTCATGAAAGCTAGAAGACTGGTGTTTTCTTTTATATCAAAGTAGAATTTGTCAAAATACAATCATTGTTACCATACTCACAGATGCTTTCTGAGTGAATAGCTTTTATGGAATAAAAACATCCCCTGCTGCTTTTGTTCGGCAAAACTCACCTGAGACTAATGATGCTAAAATTTAGACAATACATGAATATATTTTAAAGCACTTTATTTTTTTTTAATTCCATATTAAAAATAATCCCAAATTATCAGGGCTAAGTGTGAAGAATTTTCTCTCCTCTTTTGCATTTACTTTTGAGTGGCTATATTAATGTATCCAAATTATTCCTTCTGAAATTCTGTGGTCAGGGAGAGCATAAGATCTAAATGATCTCTTGAGGTTTCTGTGCAGTAGCTGTTCAAGTGCTCAAAAGCTTCAAAAGCAACACCAGCTCTGTTCCAAGCACATCTGTTCTGTGCTTGTGCTACCCTTAATATGTGTGTTTTAGATAATAATACACATGTAAGTGGATAGGCTGAATATTCAGTTGAAGAGGATCAAGAATATTACATGACTGAATTATTTTGGACTAAATTGTTGGGGATTATAGAGGGCTAGAAATACAAAATGTATATTTGACAGTCTGAACACTGCACTTAAGGCTAATGGAATCTCTCAAGTCTATTTAAAGAGGTATTTCTAAGTCCTCACAGTAATTTTAATGTAAGTTTTTCCCTGAGAACTCAATTATAAATAGCAATAGTCAGTATTGGTATTTGATGTAATTAGATGCTAAGTAGATTTGAGATGAGATATTTGGGGAGAGGCTTTCTACCTCAAAGGATAAATGGAAGGGTTTTCTGAGGGAGACTAAAGAATCTCCATYGCAGAAACTTTTCAAGAGAAGTAAAACACCAAAATTTTTATTATTCAAGGTCCTCTGCCACCTCTTCCAGGCTACCTGAACAGGGCCTTTATCACAAGAATAGTTCTCATTGTCTTGCTTAGTTCTTCTTTGCTCACATTCACTGTAGGAACAGGGAGGCAGCTTTTGGTGGCTCTGCCTCAGCTTGCAGCTGGAATACCCAATGGGACAAAAATAGCACAGGGCTGCTTGGAACTGTGGAGGCTGAAAACAGATGCCTGCACAGAGGACTGATGGAGCTGCAGGTAGGGATGATATTCCARGTATTAAAAATATGGATTTTACATGTCTGTAACCACTGCTCCTCGGCTTTCCCCTCTCTCCTGGCTCCCATTTCCCATGATRACTTCACTCAGCAGAAAATCACTGAATAGGATCCTGCAAGTCCTAATGCCCAAAATTCTTGTAATGAAGTGTTTTCCTTCAGTAGTCATGAGGAACAATACATGGGGAAAGATGACTTTGTTCCGTCATCATTTTACTTTTCATCTGGGTCCTAGTGTCCTATCAGTCTSATTAGAAACAGTCACAGAAATAAAGAAAAATGAAAAAAAAACCCCGTCGAACCAAGATCTCAGGGCTGAGCATGAAGAAAAGTGCATGTGTCAGGTGTATTCTTGTTTTACAAAAGCAAGAAAAGGCTCAACTTCCCTACAGCCTTATAAAATACAAAAGGTTGATCACAATGATTATGCTGAATAGTTTAGCAATGTTTAGTTTGTCAATCCCCGACTTAAAGGATTACACTGATCCAACTTGAAATCAAATTTTAAAGTTATCTTAGAACATCAAAATCAATACATGAAGAAGCCCATAAGCAGAAGAGCTTTCCTCTCACATGCGATTTCCTAGTTATTTTTATGACATAAATATCTTGTAGAATTCAGTCCTTAAWACCAGAATTACTGTATCAGCTGTGCAAAAAGGTGAACTTTAAAACAAACACTGGCAAACAGATCATCTTAGTTTCCTCACCTCATATGTGTGAACTTGCTCATTYGTTACTGCAAAAATTAACAGAACATTGTTTTGCACAAGTTTGTCAATTAATTGTCCAATTGTGGGATATTCCTGCAAACAAACAGAAGAAAGGCACATCAGTCTGTTTCTCCCATGCATCCAGCCACAAAACACACATTCATAATCAACACTTTGTTCTCCGTGTAGTACAAACTCTAATTATGACTATGTGTATATAAAATAAAAGATAGCACATATAATTTCCTCATGTTGTTTTGAAGGAAACCCCTCCGTGAAAAGTACAGAGCCAGATTCCATCGTGGGAGCTTTGGCTCAGTAGCATCTGTGTTATATATATATTTAATCCAAAGAACAGCACTGCACCACAGCAACTGGGTATTTGTTCTACAATGAACACCATAGAGTACATACTCAGTATTTTTGAACACTGAGTCTTAAGTTGGTAGGTTCTCTTACAGTAACAGTGTATTGCAAATTCCTGAACTGGTCCTGAATTCACACTGTTCCAGGGAACATAATTAATGCAAATCCTRCCTTTCCTGCAGAAACAAGTACTATTTAGCCCAATTCCATGTGCTTTCCTTTTGCAGAAATCAGATTTGTTGTTTTTTACTTATTTATAATGCATCCTAATTCCATACAAACAGTCTCTTCTCTCTTTACTGAGATGCGCAATTACAAATAAAATCGATTACGTGAAATATCAGGATTCCCCAGCTTTTACACATTTCAGTGCTAAAAGTATAATTCACTAATTTTCTAAGTTATTTGTGTTAGTCTTTAAATTTCCAGAATATGAGAGTATACAAAATTCATAGTTAATTACCAGAACAGTTGACATGGAATATTCATTATTGTGRTCCAAATGACAGTTCCCATCATTAGGAATAACAATCCCTGCCAGTTTACTGTCCATCCCAAAATGGGAATCAGCATCACTCACAAACACCAGCAAATGTAGAGAATCATTCCTCCATCCAATTTTTTCCTGTAATTTAAAACAGATTTAGCAGGCTATATTGCATCACAACAGAGAAAAACAGCAGAATATTTGGAGAGCAGCACCTCAAAATAAATGAAGAGCATCGTTCTCAAGGAAAGATGATGTTCATCCTGTTGTCTTTGGCTAGCACTTTGTTTCCCCATCCCTGTGTTTAATAACATGGGTTGGCCATGTTCATGTCAATCTGCTTACTACTCTAAACACAGTTAAAAATATTTGAAGAGCAAAACAGACCCAGTAATTATACAGATATTTGGGCTTATTTTCCCCTGGCAATTAAAAGGAAACTTAGAGTAAAATATTGCAATATGCATGTTTTACTTGTACAGCCAAAACTATCTTCAGACAAATTTAATGAGCTCTTGGTTTGCATTAAAATTTTTTTAAAAATAATCTGTCACTCTTCAATATCAACCTGTACAACTAGAAGAGGTAATATATGGAATAATAATATTAYATTTTAAAGTTTCAATTACCTTGCAAACAGCTGCCTGCATAATTGCATCAAATCCTCCCTCTGGAGTGTCTATATTCGCAGAAATTCGTTGTCTTTTCACAATTTCATTGAATTTTTCAGCATCATTTGTCAGTGACAAGACATGTTTATATCCAAAGGTGGGTAAGCACTCGTATGGTACACTTCTGCAAGAAAAGTGAGACAGATTATGGACAACAAAGAGTGAAAAATTACTACAGTGCTACTCCTGTAGAGGCCTGCCTGGATTAGTTTTGGTCTTGCATCTCTTGTCTGTGCCTGAGGAGATTTAGTGAAAAACATAAGATCATTTAAGAAGGTCCAGTGACCTGGGAAATGGAAAAAAATCTGCATAAAGGCTGGGAAATGCCTCCTAGAGCAGTGTAATTCAGCCAGTTACCAATGTGCAGCCCTTGCAGCCCCCCCTGCTTTGCCTTGATTTCATATTTGGAAGCCTGTTGGGCTCTGTAGAGGGAACCACCAAGATGCTGCCGTCCTGCTCCAGGTTGCAGAGCAGAGCTTCTCCCCTGCACAGGTTAGGTAAGGGCTGGGGCAGCCTGAGTTAGTGGAGAAAAAACCCAGGAAAACAGCACTGATGGCTAAATGAAACTGGTATTCTGTGTTGGATTTGAGTTTGCTGCTCCTTAGTATTGTGTAATAAAATTATTTTATATGTATATATGTGTATATATGTGTATATATGTGTATATATGTGTATATATGTATATATATATGTGTATATATATATATATATCTATATATATATATATGCTAGATAGTTAAAGAAAAATATATACCTATTTTTTATTAACACATTAAGCACATTTGTAACTAGCAGCAAAAGCTAAAAAGCAAAATCACTCCCAGATTCCTCTATCCGAATAATGTAACAATCAACAGAACAATCAATGATCAGAGTGTGAAACTGAAAGAACCAAATGTTGTTTCACAAAGTAACTCATTAGCTGGAAGAGAGCAGTTTCCAGTGAAACTACTGAAATTAATTTTAGCCTAAAGATTATGACTTAGTGTTGGCATGCAAACAGATGCTGGGATTTTCCCTGCCTACCTGCAAGGGTTGTTTATTTCTTCAGCTGTAGTTTTGATAAATGGTGAAACTGGTTTTTCAACAAAAGATCCRAACCCCAGTCTGAAGTTGCTTGTCAGTTTTGACATCTCTTTGGAAAGGGTTGAACCCAGTTCTTTGATTGTATTCAGATCATCGTCCATGGAAGCAGAAAGATCCATGAGGTAGTAGAGATCAATTGGATAATCTTCAGTCTGCCGAACCTTGATCTGTATTGTTTCTTCATGTCCTRTTGAGGTCAGGGGAAAGTGGGATAAATATCAGCACTTCTATGCAGRAAGCACAAGCAATGATAATTTCTTCGTAAACTCCTATATGGTGACAATTATCTGGTATTTTAAATGACCAAATTAGCATTAATATTTTAAATCACCAAAGCAACATTAAYGAAACAATTTCAAAAATTGTATGTYAACAAAAAAARYCTCAAATAGGGGTCTGAAAAATTGAAAGTAGTTCTAATGTTTGGGGTTCTTCAGTAATGCCATAGCATGAAATTWAAACTGATTGCTATAATTTGAAAAAAAAAAAAAAGAGAACATTCCTTTAGCAGTACGCAGCTTTAGGAAATTTAGAGATGAAGCTAATTAAAACTAGAGGTAGCACTTAGGGGTCCYACCATATCCTTTAAAAATTAAAGTCAAACTGTACACAGAGATTTTATTCTTAGTTTCAACACTGTGACCTGACCTAACTGTATGTCTCTTTTAGTCTAAATTTCTCCAGGAAAAATTCGCTTCTGAAGGACCCCAAGGTAGGCCTGGAATGCTACCATAAATGTCACTGGCACCTTGTAAATCCTCAAAGCAASATTTTATGCTGCCTCTGAGATACTATGTTTGCCAAACCAGGAGGGGAGAGGCACAGGAGGTCAGCTGGGGAGGAGCCAGGGGCTTTCATTCTCTCCCTGCCACCTCAYTGGCAAGAGAAGAGAGGAACTAAAAATATGTACATCCTTATTTTTATGATGTACCCAGCACTTCTGAAAGTATTCTGAACTCAGCTGAACCCAGTTTTCATGYGATGAGTCAACAGATCATTTTGGACTCAACACAGGTTTTCATCTTTATTCTGTCATGATATTTTTTAGACTGTTCAATCCAAGAAGCTTCAGTTTATCACACTCTCTGAAACAAAATATCCCACACCTATGAACTGTGATTTACCTGGTCGAAGCTTGAGAGTTAATTTCTGGGGAGAAATCTGTGTGACATCAGAATTGCTCTTCTGGGATGATACAGTTAGGGGATCRTTTCTGTGAATTTCTACTTCTGAAATGGGAAACTCAATCAAATTCATCTGGCACCCTTTGGACAAAAGATTTTCCAGTGTATCACACCTCTCATGAATTCCAGAGGAGTCTGTGTAATTCTAAAGCAAACAGGAGAAGGAAGGGATGAGTTAAATATTTTTAGTGACCAGCCACCAGCACCTGCCTGACAAAAGGTCAGTCCAATGCAGAGAAGGGAAACAAAGGTGCAAGTTTGTGCAATCTAGGTGGCACAAAAACCTAAATTTGCCCTTCACGGGTCATGACACACAGGTGTATAATTAATGTAACTTACACCAACTCATTATCCTGGGAGAAACTGATCTATTGTTGGGGAATGGGAATTGTGCCACTCACTGCATTTGCTTGTCACAGTACTGGGAATGATAACACAAAGCCCCTCTGAGTCACTGGTTTTTCTGCCACAGAATTATGCCACAAATTCATCAGTCTTTCCTAGACAGTTTTGAACTGCAGATGGAAACACATCATTTAATAACAGAAGAGATCTTGTTGATAATAAACTCCTGGATGTTTAGTGGCAAACTGATTTTGCTGTACCCAGTGTATACTGGTTCTTTTTTCTGACCTACTCTTCCTCCTCAACACTCATTTAACACATTCACTGAAGCAAACATCAAGTCCCTGTCCCTCAGCCTGGTGCCCAGCAATGACCACAGCCTGTCCCCACTTCCCCAGCACCAGGGTCACTCTCGGCATTCTCACAGCTGCATTTGGCCCAGCATCCTCCTGGACCTTCTCCTGTCCAGAGGAAATTTCAGGCCTGTTGAAATCAGTTGGATACCTCAGTTTCTTTTTATTTCTCAATTCAAAGCACTGATATGCATTCCTTCCCACAGCACTGCTACAGGGCACGTACTAACCCTGYGTAGGGGTGAAGTTAATGGTTAGTTTTACAAAGAGGTTTCCGTGCCTTATTACCATTTCCCAGAGYTATGTCTAAAGATCCTTAAAATCAGTCAGCTATTTCCTGGAAACTGCTCTGGCCTGTGAGACATTTTGACCAAAACCTGGTCAAAGCCTGGCAGAAGCAGCCCTGAAACATTCAGTTCCACACCATGGGGCTGCTGCTCTCTGCTATGTTTGGGCAGCAACCCTTGGATCTGACATTAAGCCACAAATAYCCTCTGAATTCAGTCACTGAAAAGCCTCCCATGCAACACAAAACAAATTTAAACCTCTTGAAACCAGAACTATGACTCTTCTTTCCACCAAAACATCACCCTTYATGCCTGAAAATTGTCATGGATCTTATATATTTTGGTGGAAACAATGTTGAGGGACCTGCCGGGAACAGTGTTTTTTTATTCTCCAGACTGAACTTGATGCCTTCACTCAGGTAAAACTCTCACCCACAGCTTCTTGAGCACAGTGCACATAAAATRCATGTACCATTCTAAACCTTTCACAGGGAGATCCATGTCGTCTCCTTTGGTTACACAGTCGGTAACTTTTCAAAATGTGTGAAGGAACAACTTTGTATTTCAAATACAATTGCAAAGCGTGTTCTTATCCTACTGAAAACAGTGGTTTCTTTGCAGGKGCTTTTGTTTGCTCTGACACTAAATCTCCTATGTCTTTTGCACTCTTGATGTGCTGTTCTCTAGCAAAGAAGTGAATGAGATTATGAACAGAGAAGAAAAATCATGTTTACTACTCTGAAGTTTTCAATAGTTTCAGAGTTTTGCTTGTTTTGGTTTTCGTTTTATGTTTGGTTGTTTTTTTTTTTTAATCAATAAATTATGTTGGGCTTTTTTTTCTTCCTGAAAATACATGGCTGTAGTCAGAATTATGTGATCCAATCTTAATAAAATCTTGTTTTATAGTACAAATATAAAAACTACTGCAAATACAGTAATGTGAAGGTTTTTTCACCTCCACGGTAACATATTTTGCAAATGGCAAAATATTTCTTCTTTAAAAAACTCAGTTTTGTCTTTATGAGCTATTTCATAAAGCAGTATGTTAGTCCCATGCTAAGTGTTATTTAGCTATACACAAAAACAATAAAAACTTCAATCAACAAAGGTGCGATCCAGAAACTAAAATGAAAAGGACATATTTTATTTGTCTCATATTTCTGTCAAGTTTTTGTTGTGATTTCCCACTATCTTTCTAAGGCTAATGAGCTAAGAGCTAGAATATTTACTATGAAGTGGGGAGATATTATTTATCACCATTTACAGGACAAAGTTTTAATAGCAGAGATGTGAATTCACTTGCCTAGGGTTGCACAGAAAATCTGAAACAAATGTATAGGAAACAAATTTGGATGTATTCTTAAGTCCAATATTTTAGCCAAAACATATCTATATCATACGAATTATAAAGCAAACATTATTGTCATACTTAAAATCAACCACTGATTAATAATTTCTATGTGCAAGTTTTAMATCTGCAAACTCACACACTATTTACACCTCAAACCTTCTGTTTACACTTCAGGCTTGGCACGTAATCTGTAAGATACAGTCTGGCCTCTGACTTTTTGTCTGGGGCTTCGTCATCAGTGCTGGGGGTGAGCCAGCCCTCAGGCTGATGATCTGAGACCCTCTAATAATATTTCTATTTCTGCCTTAGATTGGGAAGGTTGATGTTGTGGTTTTTTTCAAACAAACAAACTAACTAACTAACWAACAAGCAAGCAAACAAACACCCAAACAATCACATTATGAATATCACACCATGTAGAGTAGATTAAATACCACTTCTGATCCCCAGGAAGGCTTCACTAAGGATGCATGCACTACAAAACCATGGGCTGACCCAATTAAGTCAATACTTCATCACTCAGACAGACTACAAAGACTTCACATCTTACTTTGAAATTTTTTTTATCACTCTACCTCTTGCAAACACCAGGCGCAGTGTGGTCCGGAAAGCAAACAATCTTCACAAGTCACTGTGCTTTCCTGAGGACAGGTCCCTGAATTTAAATACAAGAAGATAAAAGGCTGTTAAAAATGTGCTTAATCATTCAATTTATGAAGAAATTTGTAATTTATAGAATGTGGGAGGTGAAAAATGCACACATTTAGCCATAATTAGGATTACTGATAAAATTCCTTCTTAACAGTAGTTCTATTGGTAAAAGATTAACTCTCTAATAAAGATTAAAACCTCAGAATTGCTGTCAATTAACATACCTGCTTTTGCATGCTTTATGGGTGGTATTCACTCAGAACAAGTTAAATTGTTTCCTCCAGTGCACCTGATATGTTTCTGGTATGGTGTAGGTAAGTCATTCCCGACATAACCAGGAATATTAAAATAACAGATTTATGCTCACTGTGTATGCTTAAAATTACTTCACTCAACTCTGTAGGTACTTGATACGAYTTTTATCCATGGTGTAACTACCAGAGAAAGACTCAGTCACAGGTATAATATGAAAGTTTCTTAGCAGATCAAACTGTGATTARTATAAATGAAATTGCTCGCATGTCTGTCTCTTTCAAATCTGTTGTGCTATGTAAAGACCACCAAACTGTAGATGAATTGGCAATGCAGCCCTACAGCAATCTGTCAAAAAAAAAGTCTTTAAATTAAAAGGAAAGATKAAATACAGAAGACAGAAAGCTATTTCTTGTCAACTTCAAGCAAGCAACAATACAAAATAGTTTTCAAATGGATCTCCCTGCCCCTGAGCCTTACCTTSCACATAGTTATTTCTTTGCAGAAATAGGAAACAGAGGCAAAGCAATTCAATCCCCATTCGTTTTCAGTGCTGGCTGCATGACAAAAAAATATTAGCTTGTTAATTATCGTCTGCGTAAAAGTAGAATGTCGTAAAAACCATCCATTCCTGGAGGGTATGATTTCAGGTGTCACGTACACCGGATTGYGAGGAAACTTCAACCCCAGCGGGACGGACCATGAACAAAAGTGAAAACAAGGGCTACCTGGGCAGGTAAAGAGAACAAGCTGTGCACACAGTAACGTGAACATGGTTATCACTTCCTTGTTTTCCTGGACTCCTTATAAGGCATACGGRAAAAACTCATTCAGGTGAAGATTTCTGTCAGCCCCAGCCACTCCGGGTCCTAGAGCAACCCAGCCAGGAGACTGTGTGTAACAACCTTTTAAAGACTCCTCCAAAATAACACCTTTAATTGTTCCCCGAGGGAGTGCGTTGGGAGATGGATCATTAAGATTGCCAAGTGAATATACCTGGAGAGAAGTAAAAATCCCACTTTTTCAGATTTCCTGATGTGGAAGGAAACTCATAAAGGCAGCTGTGGAAAAAAAACAAAAAACAAAAAACCACCAAAAAAACCCCCAAAAACCAACCAAAAAATCCAAAAAGCAAAACCAAAAAAATAATCACAGATTAAAATTGAGGACTTGGCTCCAGTATGTCAAGGTACCAAGTACACTAATTTCATTAATATTCCAGACTGAAAGGGAAATGCTGCCATTATGGACTTTTTTAATATATAGAAGGTAGAATAATTTCATTCCCAGTGTAGAAAGTRACTTGAAAAAAAGAATCATGTCAGCCTTAACTCTCTCTAATAAGTGTCTGAATATTCTTCAGCACAGATAYGACTGCGTAAAAAGTTATTGCTTTCTCTCCTCTACTTTCCCTACCTGAAATGAATGCAAAATACWTATTTCTTACTGCCTTATTAAAAGGAAATAAAGTTCCTTATTTCTAGATTTCATCTCTTCCTATCTTTTGTGCTCTGCTATTGTCTGTTTTGAAAATCATTTGTTGAGGACAAGTCCTGTCTTTTCACAAGGATTTGCWATAGTAAAAGGAGGGATGGGTCTGTATTAGTTAAACTCAACATGCCTGAAACATTCCTGGGCATTGAGGCCAACTGGCACAGGAAAACCTGAGTTTATGATTGCAAAATKCCTATTGGGACCATTCTAGCAACCAAATTGTGCCCAGAAATTGTTTGCAATGGGTGTTAATTGGAAGAGGTCAAATCCATGCCAGGGAGCATGTTAACAGTTCAATAGCATAGACAATCTCATTCTAGTGCCTGGAAGTATTCCCAGGCACATCCAGTCTTACTAGTATTTACACAGTCTRTGGGCAGTTTCAATAGCAACTCAAMCTCGATTACATCAGGGCTACCTTTGCTCTGCCCTCTCRTTCCCACCCCTTYGCTCTCACTACTCAGCRTTCGTGTCCAAACAAGCTGCGTTTCAAACRGATCCAACTAAAACCCAGTCACCTTCTGTGGGGAAGGAGGAGGGCTGTTTTGCAACTGGGTGGGTCCCTTGGACCATGTGGCTGCCCAATCCAGAGTGCAGGAAATGTTAGGATACGTAGGGCCTAATTTGGCCCATTTCAGGCTGTTACGGAACCATATCTTAACATTTACAACAACATTCCTAAGTCTCCTTCAACTGCTCTTTATGGCTCAGAGTGCCCTTTGTAAGGCACTTGTTCAGCTACAACAATTTCCTGTGGCATGAAAAAAGCATTGATTAGATTATGTTCCCTCAGTTTGTGAAGACAAATCTCTGTGAGGACACTGTCTGTAACCACATAAGGTCAAAAAGAAGTGGAATCTACTGAAAAAGTTTGCTCTTGAGAAGAAAATCCTCCCGTAAAAGGCCATTCAAACATCTTATTTCCCTGGTTTTGGCTGGTATTTGTGTATGTGTCTTTTAATATTGTTGCTGTATCTAACAACTTGCAGAGCTCCAAAACCCAGTGCTTTCCCTTTCAGTGTAGAAGGTCACCTTGTAGCTATCACGGGCCCCTGGTAACATAACAACCCTTCAAAACATGTGCTCAGAGGGCTTGGTGGCAGTCCTTCCACCACCACAGTGTACCAGCCACCATCAGTGCCTCTAATAAAGGACCAGCCAGCTGAACAGCTGGCAATTAGCAAATGCTTATTCTTAGATTCAAACTTTTAAGTGTAGAGAGAATTAATAATACAGCCTATACAAAACTTACAAATTCTRTTTGATATTATCAGTTCCCCGTTTGCTTGTGAGGTAATATTTCATATAGGTCTTGGCAAGAGTATCAAGGCTGTAGGCTAAGTGCCTGCCTCTGAGTGGGATGGCTGCCAAACACTATTTTAGTAAGTCTTCCCTGAATTAAATAGCTAAGTTTTTGCAAATTATCAGGAATAGACCACTCTGGATTGTCTGGAGGGAACAGAGAAGGAGAAGAAGGTRGCAGAATAAACAGCAGCAAAAACACGAAGGAAAACAAAGAAGAGCAGGAACCCGAGAGAGGTCCTGAAAGAGAGACAGCRTGCACCAAGAGTAAACGTTGGGCAAGGCAAGAAAACCTAGGCAGGAAGCTGACAGATGATTCTTGTTTTGAAACGTCACCTGTGATAACTAAAGATAAGTTGATCAGGAAGTTCCTCTACTAGATCAGTGATTTATTTGCTTTAATTATCACCAGAAGAGTAGAAGCTCAATCTGGAGTATTCATGCTGATGTAGGAAGGATGTGTAAAATCCTTGGGAGTMGTGACATTGCTTGATTTGATAGCAGGGTTCCCCTTCCTCATGAGGTTTTTAATAATCTTGCTTCACCCACCCRAATTAAAGGCATTGATTCAATGAGGTGCTCCCAAAAGAGACAAATGTTCCCTCACTCTATWGTCAAGTGCTTCCATACCCTTAAGCTAGCAGAAATGGAAAGCATTTTCTTTGGAATATCTGCACAGAAATATATGGCCCAGCAGCCTGATAGACACAAAGAATGGCAATGGCAGACGTTTCAGAASATGTCTGTCAGTTGGCTAAGAAAGGAAGGCTGAAAAAAGTTTCCAAGCTTTTGGAAAGCTTGAAACTTTGATTCATCTCTAAGGAGCCAGACATGATTTGAGTATCCACAGAGTGGTGTGAGAGTTCTGCAAACAAGCCAGTCCAACAGAGACAGAAACCACACACAAATACTGCAGTGACACTGAAAGAACTGTCCAGTCTCTGCCTCTGCTGCAGTACAGATCTGGCAATGCTTTGGGACAGCTGGCAAAAAATTTCAAGAAGAAACAATTCCTAACAAAATGTTGTATTTATGGGGAAATTCATAGTGAAGGTGAATGTAACAAATCAGCAACTTTTACTTCTTTTTTTTTTTTTTTTTTTTTTTTTTTTTTTTTTTTTTTTTTTTTTTTTTTTTTTTTTTTAATCACCATGGTGGGATATGGGTGTTGCTCCAACAGAAAATTACATCCATCCAAAGAAACCACTGTAAGCCCTTGGATCCTGTGTGAGWGAACTGGAGCCTGCTGTAAGCAAAGATCTGAACATGCAGTGATGGAGCTGCTTTGTTTCAGCCTTTCAGGGGTGCACTAATAATGTATCCCATTAGGGCCTGGAACCAAAACACTGCACAGAGCCCACCGAGACGTGACCTTTCCTGCCATCCTCTCCAGGTGCTGTTTGCAAGCACGGCCACACACAATGGAGAGCAGCTTGGCAAGAAGAGGAGGGGTGTCTGTAGCTTCTTCTGGAGGATTACAGAGATGGAGAATCACACAGAATAAAGGAATTTTCCCCTCCATCTCTGAGCAACACCTTGTTGGTGTTGGAGATTGGTGACTCAGGCTGTGATTCAGGCTCTGGTCTCCTCTTGTTTCTGGAGCAGTGTGCTGCTGTTGGATGAGAGCAGGGARTGAAATCAACAGCTTCCCTCTGAGCAAACAGCAGGGAAGAGCAGGAAGGAGGAGGAATTGCTCACTGACTGTACTGTGAGCATCAGGCAGGAAATTCAGGGTGTTTTTAACTTGTATTCACCTTGCCCACAGCTCTGACCAGGCTGGTTCCAGCCGAGGGTGTGAGCAAACCTTTGTTCTCAGTTTTCTTGGAATTGGAGAGCGAAGTAAAAGACTTGTTTGCCTTTCAGATTTTAATACACTCTCACACTCAAAGAGAAACAATCAAACCTCTGAACTTCAGAAGGGCTCAGGTGGACTCGCAGGAAAATCACCTGGCATTGGAATGGGGCTGCCAACTAGCCTATGACACTAAAATTGTGCCAGGGACTTCCACAGAGCCCATCAAACCTGACCTTGGTTTCTGTTTGCTGTTCATGGTTACAGATGTCCCTTGCTTTCCCTGCACTGTAAAAATGTGAGGCAGGGACACCAGAAAAACACTTCTCAGTGCTGTTTGTTGATCATGCTGGGGATGGGAACCACACCAAAAGCTGCCTCCACACCTCCTCAGACCCCTGCACTTTTGCTGAAGAGTTTTCAGGACTAGCTCTGTTCAGATTAACACTAAATTCAAACCAGGCCTGCATCCCCATCACAGAAGGGCCGATGCGAGTCCCAAACCAGGTGTTGTTGCAGCAGCACCAAGAGAAAGGCARCCCTTTGTCACAGCCCTGCAGCTGRGAAAAGCCTGTTAGGGTGTGTGAAAAGTGTCGTCAGCCTGACCACCCATATGTGAATTCCAAGCTATGGAGCTGAGGTGAAATCAGTTGTCAAAAGTGATTCTGCTCCGCTTTTACACACAGAAAATAATTTCATAGCTGACCTTACTCTACTTACACCTACAGTGRTACAGTAGTACTTCACTAAAACAGGGTTTGAATAAAGTTATTCTAGAATAACCAAAACAATGAGAATGCTTAGTTTAGCACCCAAATAGCTGCTAAATACCGAGGAAAATGGGCTCAGRTACTGTATGAAAGCAGAAACATTTCTGAGGCTTCCCAGGAGCTATTCTGCACTCCGTCAGTTTGATTTACAGACACTCAGTGCTCAGCCACTCGTTCTCGCCAGTGGCTGCCGTCTCTT